CCTTTTATAGTATGCAGCTACTTTATCAATGTAACTAGTCCATAGGTCGTCCTTCTAATTTGTGAATTTGAATGATGATATAAAAATCTATCTAGGTAATCAGTGTATTGAAAAAAAATGTTCATGTTTCTGTATCGCATCACAGGAATGATTATTTGAAACTTAGAAATAGTTTAAAATAAACATGAGCTAAGGGGCCTTTCGGAGCTAAACATGAGTGTCAAAATGACGAAATGTTGAATAACTGAATCGATAATCTGTATGTTGATTTCCATTTTAAAGATTATGTCAAATAACCTTGTATGAAATTCATATTGCAAATAAAAGCTTTCTTAGAATAAATCTTTTAATAAGGAGATATGTTATATCTATTTCACGGGTTTGATATAAACATGGTTGATATATCTCTAGCTATCTATGAATGTGAAGAATTCAAGGTTTTTAAGCCCCAGTTATATTTAAATTTTTTTCTCCAGTTAACAAGTCTATTAACACACTTTTTTGAAACTATGTGGAAATAATGAATCATCCTGAATTCATGTAGTCACTATCCAACTTTGGTCTAAATTCAGCATTACGTGTTTAATAGATGAAAGAAAATGACTCCCTTATATCATGAATACCATAATATTTTGTCTCAATTTGACAATACTGCTTCTAGCTAACCTCAATATCATTTTTGCTTTATAAAATTATTAAGTAAAAGAAATCATTCTAACTTTTTAGTTAAAATGAACGATTTTGTTCGAACACGTTGTTTTCCATTTGTTACAATATTACAGAAATGATTATACCCACATCTGACTTTTAAAAATATTTAGAAACCTTAGATACACATTATTATGTGAGTACAATGAGATAAATAGAGTTGTTTATTTTGAATAAGTTGAATACCATCTACTACATATCCAAGAGTACAAGAAAAAGCTCATTATTGTGAACATTTCGATCATCTGAATTAACACAATTATTGAGATTTAATACTAATACTATATGATGTGGTACGCACATGAAATGTTTGGAAATGACTTTATGACGCAGAATATATAACCTTTGAGAGAAATTCGCATTTAGTTCTGAATGTTTTCTATTTATTAAGTGGTTTTAGAAGTTTTAAATAAATGAATGAATGAAAAGGCACACTAGATAGTATTATTTATTTTGGCTATTAGCTATCTGTGACCAAATCTGTATTACAACCTAAAACAAGAAAATGTCACAGAAAATCAGCCAGTTGTCTAAATGCGTTACAACTATTATCGATCTGTTATACGTGCACCATAGTCTAGCATGATCGATTAGGCTTTATAAATACATTTAATTAATGATAAGCTACTACATATTAAATATAAACTCACAAATGAACTAAATATGTGGACATAATCTAAATACATGGTATAGTTTTTCAGGAATTTTTCAGTAATTTACTGTCGAAGAATCTAAATTTTTTATTCTAATCTCAGCATTAATTATTTAGTGGCATCACTAATAATAATCAGTGATAAATAGAAGAATAACAATTTCTGTTGTGATATATGAAACACGGCAAAATAATGCGATTTACAGTTTCCAACTTATATGATGAACATACTTACACATTAAAGGTGCTTGATAGATTACATTGTTACATAGACTTGGAATTCGAAATCACTGAAAGATATAAAAGAAAAGCAGTGACTTGTTAAAATTTGAGAGTGAGGGATACAAGTCAGTCAGAATCACTTATTTTTCAACTTACTTTGAGTGGTGAGTCACTGTCTAAAACTTCATGTTGATACATATTTTACTTAACCATACTAAAAAAACGAATTTTATCTACGGGAACAGAAGCTTGCTTTAAAAATCATGATTAATCCAAAATATCAGTTCAGAAAATCAATTTTGCGTTAAGTCTTAAAGATTTTAAGTACATTTGAGGACATTCTCAGTAATAGGTAAGTGGAGATTGACTTCTACCGATTATCAAAATTTAGTCAATAAATCAACATTTAAGAACATTCAGTAGTCAGAAATCTAAAGACATTTTTTGTGTATATCAACAAATCTCTTAATGAGAGTATTAGAGTCGTTCTAATTAATTTTGGTTTGCTGCTTTCATTGATGACCATGATTTTATTCATTCATGCATTCAAATAAATTGTGTGTGTTTTCTAAAATTGTGAAATAGATTTGCTGAATTTCAATGAGAGAAATTTAAATTTGTGATGACACGAATCACTTCTGAAAAAAGAGAGGGGCATGTTGAGTAGTAGGAAACTGGATAGCACATGCTGCTGCTTCTTAAAGAACCAAGATTTATAGGCTGCTAAAGCAACAAAAAGAATGCCTTATTGGTACTTAAAGGGAAACGAATGAAGTATATGTGTCTCACACGATCAACATACATAACTTCAGAGCTCAATAGAAAAAGTCCGATTAAAATTAATTGCTTTAATTCAGGATCATTAAAAGTACTTGTTTGCCTCAAGAAACGATCCATTTTTTGTCACATAATCAGGGATTCCTAAATAGGACTTACATTTCAAACGATGAATTACTTAATTTTTTCGTAGCACGTAATTCCCTAATTTGGTTTACCGCAGAAGATTATTCTCTGTTTGATAGTATCCCTAATAATAACGCTTTCTGAATGATAGATGACAAGTGAGTTGGAATATAATCAAGTCCCATTATTTGTTTAATAGTGATGATAAGTTAATCGACAAGCACAATCACGTTAGCTTACATTTTTGTTTATCAGCCTTTTTAAAAATACCAAATAATAATAAGCAAAGATGGATAGTGGCTAGCAGTGGAATCCAGGACGCGCGTTTCGTCCTGTTTGGGACTCGTCAGCTGGATGTACCTGCATCTCAGAGTTGATGTTCACTCTGGGACTCGAACTCAGTACCGTTCGCTTCAAACGCCATCGCGTTATCCACTTAGCTACTGAGTCCTGATAGCCACTTGCTTGTGCAATGGGTTGAAGTTTAATTCACTTGATATTGTTTTTTTTTTTTTATTTGAAACTTCCCATTGATGTTTTTGGACTGAAATTGATCAGTCTCTTATTGGCATATGTGCATACTGTGCGTATGCCTCGATATTGCCTTAATTTACAAGCATTATAAGCAAAGATGGATAGTGGCTAGCAGTGGAATCCAGGACGCGCGTTTCGTCCTGTTTGGGACTCGTCAGCTGGATGTACCTGCATCTCAGAGTTGATGTTCACTCTGGGACTCGAACTCAGTACCGTTCGCTTCAAACGCCATCGCGTTATCCACTTAGCTACTGAGTCCTGATAGCCACTTGCTTGTGCAATGGGTTGAAGTTTAATTCACTTGATATTGTTTTTTTTTTTTTTTTTTATTTGAAACTTCCCATTGATGTTTTTGGACTGAAATTGATCAGTCTCTTATTGGCATATGTGCATACTGTGCGTATGCCTCGATATTGCCTTAATTTACAAGCATTATAAGCAAAGATGGATAGTGGCTAGCAGTGGAATCCAGGACGCGCGTTTCGTCCTGTTTGGGACTCGTCAGCTGGATGTACCTGCATCTCAGAGTTGATGTTCACTCTGGGACTCGAACTCAGTACCGTTCGCTTCAAACGCCATCGCGTTATCCACTTAGCTACTGAGTCCTGATAGCCACTTGCTTGTGCAATGGGTTGAAGTTTAATTCACTTGATATTGTTTTTTTTTTTTTTGATCAATTTCAGTCCAAAAACATCAATGGGAAGTTTCAAATAAAAAAAAAAAAAACAATATCAAGTGAATTAAACTTCAACCCATTGCACAAGCAAGTGGCTATCAGGACTCAGTAGCTAAGTGGATAACGCAATGGCGTTTGAAGCGAACGGTACTGAGTTCGAGTCCCAGAGTGAACATCAACTCTGAGATGCAGGTACATCCAGCTGACGAGTCCCAAACAGGACGAAACGCGCGTCCTGGATTCCACTGCTAGCCACTATCCATCTTTGCTTATAATGCTTGTAAATTAAGGCAATATCGAGGCATACGCACAGTATGCACATATGCCAATAAGAGACTGATCAATTTCAGTCCAAAAACATCAATGGGAAGTTTCAAATAAAAAAAAAAAAAAACAATATCAAGTGAATTAAACTTCAACCCATTGCACAAGCAAGTGGCTATCAGGACTCAGTAGCTAAGTGGATAACGCGATGGCGTTTGAAGCGAACGGTACTGAGTTCGAGTCCCAGAGTGAACATCAACTCTGAGATGCAGGTACATCCAGCTGACGAGTCCCAAACAGGACGAAACGCGCGTCCTGGATTCCACTGCTAGCCACTATCCATCTTTGCTTATAATGCTTGTAAATTAAGGCAATATCGAGGCATACGCACAGTATGCACATATGCCAAAAAAAGACTGATCAATTTCAGTCCAAAAACATCAATGGGAAGTTTCAAAAAAAAAAAAAAAAAAAACAATATCAAGTGAATTAAACTTCAACCCATTGCACAAGCAAGTGGCTATCAGGACTCAGTAGCTAAGTGGATAACGCGATGGCGTTTGAAGCGAACGGTACTGAGTTCGAGTCCCAGAGTGAACATCAACTCTGAGATGCAGGTACATCCAGCTGACGAGTCCCAAACAGGACGAAACGCGCGTCCTGGATTCCACTGCTAGCCACTATCCATCTTTGCTTATAATGCTTGTAAATTAAGGCAATATCGAGGCATACGCACAGTATGCACATATGCCAATAAGAGACTGATCAATTTCAGTCCAAAAACATCAATGGGAAGTTTCAAATAAAAAAAAAAAAAAAACAATATCAAGTGAACCAAATAATAATAGTTCATGAAATTTTATTTTTATGAGGAGTTAAAATAGGAATTCTTGTAATCAATCGTCTACTTAAAGAGCAGAACATTTTGCTATATTCAAATTATATATTTTAATATCAACCATTATCCATTGAGTTCAAATATAGAGCAATATTAATTGATAACAAACTCATTCCTTGTTTTAAGTTCCAAGCCTTTTCCAGCTATATGTGATCTATTTTAACTATACCAATCAAATAGTTTGATCCAACTGTAACTGGTTGATCAGGTTGTTGTCCTCCAACTGATATACGGAGAGTGCCTTGACCAGGAACCATGGATTTATGTTGATTAGACCATACACTTAACTGGTCTGGGGATATTTGAAAATGAAGATCCTTTTTTTCGCCAACATCTAGTCGAATACGTTTAAAGCCTGCCAATTGAATATTAGGTGCAGTGCATTCCCACTGATCTTCGTTAGTTATATCAGTTTGCCCACATTTTAACCATTGTATATACAGCTGGAAAACGACACAAAGAAAAAAGTATAAATTTATAACATTTTAGAATAATTTACCTTTAATCTTACTACAAAAATAAAGAATATGAAAAAGGGCCGTTTAGATGTATAAGAAACATGGTTTCAAAACCGATAATTCAGACAAATTCTATTGTTGCTTTACAGATTGACATATCTTCACTCTACAATCACATGAATATTTCATCAATGTGGAAAGGAAAACAATTCAAACACAAGTAATCTGTCTGACAAACTTAGAAGTTGTGATGATAAAGTAAAGTTAGTCAGATGTGTGTGATATAAAAATAGCAATTCGATTAAAATAATTGGCATAAGATGACTGATATATTGGAAGGTTGTTTAATAAACAATATTTATTTTACTTAGCAATTGTATAGTTAAATTCATGAGTCAATTGAAGCTAGACCACCATGGAAAACCTAGAAGCACTGGACGTCCGTTTCGTCTTGGTATGTGATTTTTCAGTAGTGCGCATCTACGATCCCACCCCACAAGATTCGAACCCAGGGCCTGTCAGTCTCGCGCGCTAACGCTTAACCTCTAGATCACTGAGTTGGCATCCAACGGTATTAATGTCTAGCTTCAACCAACTCACGAAATCGCACCACTGTCCACCATTGTCTTCAGTGAGTTACTATCTCATAACAGACCTGGTTGAACTCCACTGGTCACGGCTTCTCACAAGAACTCCAGGAAATTCCTCTTGAAGTCATTTACAAGTGAGCACATCATAGTTATTATCAGAAAAGGCTTTTGTGGAGATTTTAGCAAGTTAGTATTTGCATTCATGAGTCTAGCTTCAATTGACCCATGAATTGAACTATTAAATTACTAAAATCTCCACAAAACCCTCTTCTGACTTATCGATTTGTCTCTAATTTTTGACTGTAATTGAGAAAACATAACCGCAAGTTCTAAATCATGTAATTTACGACTTCACTTAGTAAACTTTCCGTTTGGATTTTGGAATCTTACAAATGATTGAAGCACCCAAGCGTTAGAGATTAGTTGGAGTAGCCAAAATATACATTTTAATTATTATGTGAATGAAGTTGGTACTTAACATTTTATATCCAAAATTAAAAACATTTAATCAATTGCATGAATATTTTTTCTTCAGATCTTTTGTGGTTAATATATTCTCGTTGACTGCTAATGAAACTACCGTTCAGCTGAACAAAAAAAGACTTCTTATAATATTCTAGTTGACATTACAGGAATTTTTCTTATTGTGAATACCGAAAGCAGTTTGTAAATACATAGTGAATGAGATACGAGATGTATTGATTTGAACTCAGCCTTTAACTGTTCAATGAACAAATCTACCAGCATGATGCCTGATTTTCAAATTATTATGTAATTTCCGAAGTCTTATTGACAACTCCTAGTCTGAGTTTGTTGGGAAGATATTATGATGAAACGTGATTTTACATTAATGCTCGGAGGGCAACTATACTGATTTTGAAAATATATGTCATCGGGACAGCTATGCTTTTCTTTCCAATATCGTTGGTCTCATTTCAGTTTTACACTGGTATTTGCAGTAACTAATCCAAGCATTCAGTATCGTCTGGATGTAAATAAACCACTTCTTTTAATCAATTGTACTGACGGCATTCTTTTTACTAGTTTTAAAGGCAATGAAATTCACAGGTAACAAGAATAAATGGAATCAGTATATATGGTGAAAACTTTAAACCATTAATCGAGGACTTCCGCTGAACTAACGTATTTTTGTGCTTGCTCAAGCATCGAAAGTTTTAGTCAGATAGATTTTGTCTTCCTACTAGATTGGAGGAACACATCAAATGAATGAACAGCAATGGGAAATAACTTGAAAGAAGGACCTAGGACGGAGTTTTTTGGAGAATCTTGGTAGACGGCCGATGCACTATGAAGGGTAGAAGGTGTAACTAACTAATTAATTAATTATTACTGTGTTTAATTAGGTTTTTTCAGTTAATTGGTTATTCAAGACTACGTATAACAATAAAGGTTAAAACTGAACATGTTATCTCCATCATTTACTGCAGAAAGTTAAATAATTAAACAAAAAATCTTATGCCTTTAGATTATTTGGGTTTATTTAGCTAAACTGCTAAGTAAAACAGCAATGTAAATGTGTTTGTACTGAAGACATGAATACAAAATCTCAGTTTATTTCCGTTAACCCTCAAAACTCATCTAACATATCATCTATTTTGGAGAGTAATGCTTCAGCATTGTGAAAAATATATGACTTCATAAGAAAACATTTGTGAATCTCAACAATTTGGTTATCACAAGTGATTCTGTTGAAAAACAGTGGGAACCCTAGACTTCAGAACGTATGTATTGTTCCATTTTCGTAGATCATCAACAGTTTACTTTCCATACCTTCTATGCAAAAAAGGTAGTAAAACAAAATTATGAAACTAAACAATCGTTTTCAAACTAAGAAAAATAAACCTGAATTAATGTTTTGATTTAAATTCACTTCAAACTGTTAGGTTGTAACTTACTTGTACTACTTCCTCACACGCAATATCTCCTACGTTAGCTACAGTTGCATAAACAGTTATTGGTTGATTTGGTTTAACCGGAGACAGTGGCAACTCCAGTTCTAAATATTCAATACCACTAAGAGAAGGGGATAGCATGTTGTATGATAATCCATAGCCAAATGGATACAAAATTGGTATTTTACATGCATTTTGTTGCTTGGTACAAGATTTTGGCAAGTAACGATAGGTCTGATTCGTCATTTTATATACAGTTATATTGGCTAACTCGTCAATTGATGCGTACCATGTAAATGGTAATCTAGCCGCTGGTACCCACCAGTAACCTTCATCTATATCCATACCCCACATACCGATTTCGGATAATTCAGGATCCATTCGTAACAACGGTGCGTACGGCCCAAAAGGTTTACCAGGATTTCCCATCAGTACACGAACTATTACTTCACCGAGTATGTCATTCATATAACCACACCAAAATATGGATTTAACCTTGAGAAAGTGAATAGATATCCAATTTATCGTAAAATTAAAACTTATTTAAGTTGAAATAATTCCATCGTTCATTTGCGTAAAGACTTAACATGTATTAGGTTGCTATGTTCAACATTTATTATGTTGTGATATAGCCACAAAAAAATAAAATCTAATATTGCATAATAAAGGCTATTTGATAGCATATGAAGCAGCTTGATGAACCTGTATGTTGAACCTAATAATATCAGAGTCAGAATCATTTAAATTATCCAGATAAAAACATCGTAATTATATTGATTACTTGTTTACAGCTAGTAGTCATATCGTTTAGAGACTGAAATAATTTTTCTGTCAATTACTTCATGAATCTAGGACGAGTTATAGATCCAATACTTCTGGTTAATACTATTTGTGAATAAACATCTTTGCGTTACACATCAGTTTCCCAAAAAACAAAAAAGCACTGAAATCAAAGACATCCAATTGCAATTTGAATGTATGATTCTGTCGATCGTGATTCGTTCCTGTCAAAGGAAGAGCTTATGAATGAGTTATATTAATACAGAGGTGGAAGTAATGATATCGATGAACTATTATTTAACTTCATTTAATAATTAGATTCACGATGTTTCAGTCAAGCAGACTTAATTTGTCCGTATCCAGTGTATGAAGAGGATTTCAAAAAAGAGCGTGCAAATATTGTATACATAATAACGATTTCTTGTTAAAAATTGATACTATCTGAAAAACTACCGAAAACAGTCAAATAAAAATTGTCTTATTTTTATTGTCTTTTTTAGCAGTGTTCACTATTACACATAATCACGTCCTGTGGTAAATATAACAAATTATTTATGAAGTTGGATGTTGTCCAGAATGATTTTGAATTGAGTCAGTTTCAAATGTTAAACTATCACCATATAAATGTAAGCATTTAACAACTGGTAAACTTCAAAGTCTACAATACCACATTAGAATAAAGTTCAGCTTTATTATTACTGAAATAACATCAAGCCACTTGTTTATTGGAAATAAGCTCTATTTAGTGTATTAGGTTTGACTGATTTATACTAAACTATTCAATAACATGCACATGACGGAATAGTTAATCCAATCTCCTTTTAATGTGTTATAGCGACTCACGTGCAATTGAGTTTGTTCACATTTAATTCGATTAAGTCATTTTATGGTGATTTTTAGAAATTTCACTGGTTAGAATCATGAGTCAATTGAAGCTAGACCACCATGGAAAACCTGGAAGCACAGTCTCGAGACTGATAGGTCCCGGGTTCGAATTTCGCGGGGTGCGGGATCGTGGATGCGCACTACTGAGGAGTCCCATACTAGGACGAAACGGCCGTCCAGTGCTTCTAGGTTTTCCATGGTGGTCTAGCTTCAATTGACTCATAATTTCAACCAGTGAAACTTATCTATATCGTTGTATCTTTATTATTGTTGCGAATGTATGAACATGTATGCTTGAGCATTGCTTACTGCCTACGCATTTATTCACGCTACTAGCTTTACTACTATTCGCTTAATTGATTCAATGATTCATTCATTTCACTATGTATATATATGTCCATGCTATTCATGTTCATTGCTCTCTCTCTCTTATTTGTACTCGCTCACTCATACTCATATTCGCTTACTCGCTCACTTGCCTGCTTGCTTTTCGACACAACTCTTTCATGCTTGCTTAACGCACCTGTAATTTTGGATATCTGTGTGTGGTCTTATAATAAACGTAATCAACACTTCGTATTCGTCTTCTGATTAATATACCGTTGGGGCGTTATCTAGTGACGGTTATCAAGACGAACTGTATAGGAAGTTTAAGGATTATATTGAATACTGACCACCATAGTGTCATGATTATTACTTCGTTTCAAATATTAACTTTTCAAAAATGCCCATTGATTGATACGTGTAAAGTAACATACATTTTCATCTTCCACTGCTGGCTCAATATCAATTGGTCCAGAAGAAAAGACTAATAAAACTACTGGGACAGGCTTGCGCCTAATTATCCCCCGACCGGCTGCCATATCTAGTGTACTTAATAAAAATTCATTCTGATGTCCAGGTAGATTCAGAGTATGTCTATCATGTGCTTCGTCTTCAACATTTCGTCCCGTGCCAATGGTTATGATAACAAGGTCAATATCTGGTTGGCAAAGTATTTCTTGGATAGCTAAATCGTCGTACATTGTACACTTCCCACCATCAATGCAAATATCTGAAGCAGTAACGTTTTCACTTATTTTTTCAAGAGCTACAAAATGTAACGTGGAAAGAGTCAGTGTTATCATAGCATACATATTAATGATAAACCGAATGGGTGAAACAAACCAACAGCAAAAATAATTCCAATGCTAATACAGTAATCAACAATTACTTTATGAAGATAGGAACTCCAGAATAAACAGGTCATTCATAAATAATTTACTGCAATCTCGGTTTTTATCATCAAAGTTTTCATAACAGCAATCAAATATTATACAAATGATTTTTTGTAGTAATACTCAACATGTGCCAGTATAAGTACTTATGTGATATGCTTCATGCTAGTTTACAGATCAGATGCAACACAACTTTGATGTACTTCGTGACAATATATACAGTTCTGTGATTTAAATTTTCATGTCAATAGCAAATACTTGTAATTGAGTGAACAGAAAACAGTTGCTTACAACTTGGTCGTATTAAAATAATATAAAGACTGATAATTGATAAGCTTGAATATAATTTCGACAGTAACCTAAATAACGCTTCATCTGGTTGAAAGTGAGTCTTAGATTCTCATAAATAATCTGTGGAAACTATGCATTGTGCTCTAGAGCCTCGTAAGGTATCCGAGGCCATCTGATTTAACTTTTTAATAACTACGACGTAGAGAACTCTCCCTAACTTTATGTATTTGCCATTTCTGTCAGATACTGCACCTTTCCTTCATCAAAATGACCCTAATAGAATTTTATAGGTAAACTGATGGTAAAATCATACTACTTGCTTGACAATTTCCACTTTATGAAGTATTCTGCAGTGTTATATATAAGATGTGATTGTCATGTATGTATCTGTTAGCTTACTTTTATCCAGTGGAACTGTATCAGCCGGATCAATGTGTTTAGTGTAACTTCCAGCCAATTCACTGATATTTCTTGAAAATGGTCCAAGTAAGGCAACATGTTTTAACGGCCGTTCATTTGTATCTGGTTTCATTTTAAGTGGAAGGAATTCTTCAGAGTTTTTCAAAAGTACCATGGTTTTGGCTGCAGTAACCAACGATAAATATTTATGCTTTTCACTCTTGACAACCTAAGAAAATCGCAAGTGTCATGTTTACACTTTTAGCAGCATCAAACAGAGCTTCAGTAAAACTGACGATAATATTTAATATATGTTTAAAACCACCTCTAATAATAATAATAATAATAATACGCAAGTCTGCATACATCCCATATCATAATGACCGAACTAAAAGCATCCTACAGTTTGGTTATTAAGATATTACATAACAGATCATTTTCATGCAATTGGTTTCCTTTATGAATTTAAATAGAGCCAGAACAAACATTGATGCAGAATAGTATGAATTCATAATATTTCGAGGTTTCTCGTCAGCTGCTTACAACCAAAATAATTAAATAGAATTTGAAAAGTTAAGATAATTTAAGAGGATCATTTTGCTTGACTATTTATATGTTCAAACATAAATATTGGTATAAAGTGTCACCAAAATAAATGTGAACCACGTAACAAAAATGAGATTGTGAGGAGATAGAGAAAGCAAGGTGAGTATAATAAAAACGTAGGCGAGAGTATAAAACAATAACAATCGAAGAACTGATTCAGTTAACAAAAATACAACCACAATGGATTCTTTCAGTTAAAGAAGTTACTTTACTGTTATATGAAGCAAGTAAAAGATAATTACAGTAGGATAACAAATACCTTATATTCTGAACCATGTCTGATACCGTCTAAGGACAGTGCTCCACTATCTCTAGGACCCTAACCAAAAAGTTATGAAGGATCGGCAGACGCCAGTCCTATAGAACTTCGATTTGTAAATCATAAACTTACCATCGCTTCGCGTTTCGTAATCATTCCCAGCGTCGGCGGATAATGCACGACGTGGAATTCCCTGGACAACATTCCTAAGACATGTCCAAGACACCGAAGCCGACGTTTCAAGATAGTTACATCAATCGGACTATCGTCGCTGTACCTCAACACACGTTGCCGAACCTCTGCATTACTAACATAGTGCTACCGATGTACGCAAGTAATCCATCAGAGTAGAAAATCATTGAACAGAGTCGTCTAGCATCCTGAACTCTGAGAGGTCAGGTCTCATAGGCATAGAGAAAACTGCACTCACCGACGCGTTGTAGATCGGAACTTTTACTGCAAGGCTAGCATCACAAATACACCAAAGATTGCTCAGGTTGACAAAATCCTCTTTGGCTCTCACTATACATGAATCGATCTCATTACTCACGCCACCACCAGTACTTACGCGGCTACCCAGATACATGAACTTCTACACTATTTGTAAACAGAGCCTTCCAAGGACGATTACCAACTCATTCCATGATGTTAAAACAGTCTCTAATTGCCAGACCTTTGCAAACAACTAAGCCAGTTCCGTAACCAGAAAGTCACCACCATCTTTAAAAAGGGCCGGAGTTAGGTCATCTGGGCCTAGTGATTTGTAGCGCTTCAAGAGTTGGAGTTTCTGGCAGACTTCCTCTTCGTTGGGTGGATCAGCCTTTACTGGCCTTGGAACACAGGAAAGTCGTCGGGGCAGCAGACCGGTCGAACTGCTCCTCAAAAATCTCTGTCCATCGTCCAAGACATCGTCTGATGTTACTGATTGGCATCTTGTCAGCTTCACAGGTTGTTTCGCTCACACCAGACTACTTGTTGCCAGTGTCTCGGATGAGATGAAAGGACTTCCGGCAGCTACTGAGTAAAGCTACTGCTACCAACTCGTTAGCATTATCCGACCACCAAGCTTCTCGGTCCTTACTCAAACTTACAGAAATTCCATTACGTAGCAGTCTTCGTTCATCGTCAAACTTGCGGTTACTCGGAGTAGACAAACGTGTCTCAGCGAGTTGTAAGGAACCTGTAAAGACTCAATGCTTATGAGCAGGACGTTTCGTGAAGCCACAAGCGACTTTGCTTGCCATTTTCATAGGGTCATGCAAAGCGGTAAGTTCTTATCCATACTTTCCACTGCGTTAATAGCTAACCTTGAATCATGTTCGGTTTGATATTTAGTTGCGACAGGAGCTGCAACCAATTTACTGACATTGCTCCTTTTAGGAAGATGAATTTGTTCACCACTGAGACGCAACGCAAGATTAGCGCAAACATGGGCATTATCAGGGTTCAGATAGGTACTCCAAAAGGAGCGGTAGTTTTGTACACAACCACTTCAGCTGTAGCTGATGACTTTGTGATCACTCTGAGTCTAGCATTGAGATGTAGAGGGAGAACACCAGGTAGCACTTCGGTGATAACTTTGTCGGTTGTTAATGATAGCCAGAAAAAAAATTTAGTTTGCGAACAGTTGCAGTAGACGATCACCTTAATCTAACCTGCGACCATCGAGTCCCCATCGGTCACGTAAACGACTCTCTTCTGTGCCTAGATGCCCGATCTGTAAACTCAAGTCTCAATATCTGTCGAACACACTTTTTATAGAAGGATAGGTAATTGATGGTGAAACTCCTATTGACGTCATTCGGGCTGTAATCTGTCGGAGCGTAGGCGTAGATGATGAAAAAACATTGTTTTTCACAACCACTTGCTGAACCATTCTAATCTAACAGCACATAACCAACTGCCAATCTAGATCTGGTCGATTAGTGGTTTTTCTGTTCTGCCGCAACTCTGAGGCAACAACTCCAGTGAGATCTGGAAAAAGTGTCACAGGATCCCCAGACAAATGCATGCGAATTTGTAGTATTTCACTAGTCCTGAGTATGAATATCAGATAGACAACAGACATCGGTGTTAGGACCTCCAAAGACATAACCAAACCTATCTGTTGTCCGATCTGCATTATTGTACGAGTGTTGCAGGAGTCTAGTTTAAAAGCCACACATAATTTCAGAAAGACTGCTTCAGAATTCGTATTCGGTGGTAACATTCAACTTCCGACCAGCCAGTGACTTAGGATCATTTAGAAAGGACAGAATTTCCACTACAGGTGGACTATTGTGTGGTTTGTAAAATAACAAAGTAAACAAAGGGCGAATGAATAAGTGACGCAGTGTATGATAAAAACGAATATTAACAAATAGTTTGGAGTATGACTTGCAGGATTGAGGACTACGGTGTAAATGGTTTTCTTTAGTTGTAGTAATCATTTAGTTTGTGTATGGGCTCGGACACTGCCCTAGGTCCGAGAGTGAAGCAGGTGGTCTCCTTAAGGCACCCACTTTCAGAGCCTTTGACCTAAAGATCTAATCTATAAAGCAGTAGAATAAAGTTAGGATATGCGATCCAACGGTAACCCCTTTGGGTACCTCAGTATTCTAGAGCTCATGTGAACCATTGGTTTGGAGTCACGGTTTCCCAACTCCTCGAAGTAGGTCCCCTCCTACCCACCAATCTAGTCTGGGCGCTTAACATTCGCTTTTCATCCTCTTAATTTCGTAAACAACATCCTAACTGCAGGAAAGAAGTGAGTAGGATTTCCCTGGGAGTGGCTATATATACACGGTCATAAGAAAGTATTTCAAGGAGGAATGGGGACTCTCCCCACCCTCCCTGTACCATGGTATTTACTCAACTTCAACCCATTATGTATTTCCATATGATATGATGTGAGTAGAAGCTTATGGATTATCAGTGTATTTACAAGTGACTGACACTGGAATTATAACTTCTCAAAAGTATACCTATGAATCAAAACTTGATGAAATCTGGATATTTGGCATCTTGCAATTAACTCGTAAGTCACATGCTCACTATTTGGTCATTCAAACTTCATTATCCTTGTAGTTGGCTTACTCGTAATATGGTATAATACAGCTGAATTTTAAGAATTAGTTATATTATATTCTTGATGGAAACTAACCTAATTTTATCAAAAATATTGCAGTTTTTACTCATGTAATATAGAATTTTCTTATCATTCTTCTTGATCCAACGTGAACACCAGCTTTTAGCAGACATTTTTGTTCAACTTTGTTTAATAACAGAAACTACGGTGCCCATTTGAGTAGTAAGTGATATGTTTGTAGTAGACTGAGTAACAAAGAAAGCAAAAATAATACGTGCAAGTTTCGCCACACGAATATAAAATTTCCCATGGTTTCCGACTAGTTATTTGAAGTGAAAATACATTATACATAGAGTTTATTTTGATCGCTCTTGGTCATCATTATTTCAAATATCTGATCGCGAATTTTTTCTACATCATTTGTTAAATTAAGAATAAGGATTATCATTATTTCCTGAAAATTTGACTGGAAAATCTAAACATGTTATCCATTTAAGATATGATGTCAGATTAATGGAGGAGAAAAACGTAGATGCTAAGAAATTTTCTGTAATTGAATTTACATACTACAATGGTTGTCTTAATAACCTTATCAAAGACAATAGCGTATGCTTGGTGCTATGGTGGTGTCTTTAAGTTTAAAGATAACTTTATATGTGAAAAGCATGACTCTGTAAAGGATCCATTAGGAAGCTAAAAAAGAGTCAGTTTAGTAAGACTGATCACTTCTTTAGAAAACTTCAATATTACATCGGTTATCTTTTCAAGCATCTTCGTTATGAATACCGTAATATTCATTCTTGCAAAAACCAAGGTAAATTTTTGTCGTTTCTGACTGACTGTCGCAATGAGATTTTTATGTATGAAAATTTCTATAAGCTATCTTCATTAATATCAAAACTGATTCTAATTACTTAGAAAACAAAATATAAATTTATCAAAGTGCTACAAAAACATACTGTACTGGGTAATAAATGAGCATATGGATCCATTTCTGGCGAATTTAATTCACCTTCTAGAATTCTAGCAAGGAACAAAGGACGAACTAGATTTCGTAATTCATCTTCAGTCACATTACCAGATTTTGTAAGGTTTAATAATTCAGAATAAACGTTAACATTATTAGGTAATGCATTTTCTATATTTACACCAGCTTTAACTGCAGCTAAAGCAGCTTCTTGTAAAGACGAATAAACATGATGTTTCGATATCAAAAATTGCAAGGCACCTTCATCACTGATTACAAAACCTGGAAAATTGGGGAAAAATCATCCAAATATTGAATAAGATTAGTTAAACTGAAAGCCATTACTGTAATCACTTCTCGATGGTTAAAAAGTACAGAATAGAACTATTTATACATAGGTTCTACGTTGCATATGGCTGATGACTTACTGGTTATACAAACGGTTCTGATTCTAAAAGAATCTTCGTATGAGTTTTTTTCGGATTCAGTCACAGTTCATGTTTGAGAAAGTATGCCATAACTAAAATTATTTCCTAAATAATATGAACTATTAATTATCCAATTATCCAACTAACTTATCTCTTCTATGACGAAGACAATACAGTTTGATAGTTTAGCAGTATAATGTCTAACTTAACGCAATTCTGTTTGAAAGGCAAAACTAGTTTAGGTAAGCTGTCTTCTTTACACCAAAACTAGACAAAGCTAATAAATTTTATGAGGACATATTTATGTGGCTACCTTTGAAATGTACTAATACTCGAATCAAATATCTTTTCCAATAATTGACTTCTTGTCTAGCAGTTTAAATATCATAAATACATTGATGGATAAGACAAGGCATCTAAACTACACATGTGAAAATAGATAAATGATGAATCTAGATGAAACATCAAACATTTTTTTGAAAAATATAATATGGTGATAGAATGAATATAAGTTAGTTTTTATATCACAAACCTGGATATTTCCACTGCTTTCGAAGTACAGTATCTAATAGCCAGTGATTTACACAAGCTGGTGTGCCATTCACTCCGCTATATGCACACATAACTCCAACAGCTCCAGCTTCCATACATGCACGAAAAGCAGGAAAATAGGTCATCCACAAATCGTGTTCCGGAACATCGGCTTCAAAAGATAACCTTGAAACAGGATCGTTTTCTGGTCCGGAATGCGCAGCATAGTGTTTACAGTTTGCACCAACCAATACAACATGTTGTCTGGTTGGATTTATTGTTAGTAAGTTTACCTGATGGAAATTAGTATAGGGATAAATTAAGAATAAACAATTTTATGTTCATTTGTCTTCCAGATTGTTTTTTCAGTGCTCTACAAAGAGTTACAACGTCTAAACTCTGTATATTAAATATCATAATAATTAAAATACAGTCAGCCATCCTGTTTATGTGTGATAGAAGATAATAATAAGATTTTAAGCTCTTGGTACCTGTTGTACTACCCAGGCTGTATATATTCCATTTTAATTATAGAGCTCGAACTAGACGAATATCATTTAGAAATCTATAGATTTACAGACAGTACAAACACATTTTATTACCTTTACCTTTACCTTTACAATAGTCAACTTATGATTACCAAGAAAATTATAAATTAAATACAGCGAGCCTGCATACAAACAGCAACTGAAATTGTCAGCCCTGTTTAACTATAAAAGCCCGAACAATGGCAGTAACTTCGTGTTTTAATCAGTAAGATAAACAGAGGAATTCACTTATCTGTAACTAACGTATCAGAGTATGCTTACGAGAAGATAGTCATTGAAAGGAAAACATGTTCTACTACAGTTAACAATAATCGGTCATGTCGTTTGTTTAGAAGTTGAAGTGAGGCATCTAGAGTTGGTCATTTAAAACTTGATTGAGATAAATAACAAATAACGGGACTGATGATCACAGTTCGTAAGAAACTACTAATGTTTCTGAAAATTCTTTTTTCTTTATTTATAACTAATGAAAAATAGTAATTCCAAATGTATATTAAAAGGATATTACTTATTTCGTTTCATTAGTCGCATAATGGTTTATAAACAGTTATGTTTCTTCTTTAGATTTCTAATTACACTAACTAACTAATAGAAACTCTTCCCGTAATTATAATTTATCATCTCTAAGCTCCTAATGCGTCTGTATAACAACTTTATATGACTCACTACTAACCTACTTATTTCTACACCAACTTACTTTCTTCTCATCCGAATTCTAATTGTGTATGATCTTACTACTGTATAGAGTTAGACCTTATCCCTTTATTACACTGAAATTGGTTAATCGCGTGGTTTTAGCTGATAACGTCTTCCGAAATACAATTTCGCTATAAATTAAGGACATCACTTGAGTGTTGCTATATAAAAGCAGTTGAATGTTAACTGAATGCTGAAAGTTGACCACTACATTTTCAAGGTTATGTGTCCTATTAACTTAAGACGATGACCAATACAACTGAACAATATCCGGGGAAAAAAACAGAATACATTTGATAAATAAGAATATGGGAAGTATTTCCCATACATATATATAATTCTATTGGCTTGTCTCCGTAAGTAACAGAAATTGATTTTTAACCATCATATTGGTTTAAGATCAACAGTTTAAACTGACTCTCAGTGACTTTACACTTGTCAGTAATTATTCAAAAAAATATCACCTTAAGTTCGTGATAGTATAATTGTAGAGTAGATATTGTTATCTTCTGATGAATTACTATTGAACGATTTTATTAGTCTACTTAATAAACCTATATTCGTAATGTAGAGTAAAGGTCACATATTAAACTTAAAATAGCATTTCCGTTGACCAAAGGTTAATGAATTAAATGAAACAAGCTAACTGAACATTTTAGCCATACACCAAGAACACATATCTATTGTTGAACAGTGTTAGGTGTATATTTTGCTCTAGAACCAGCATTCCATCTTTTTAGTATGAAAAACTTAAAGTGAAATGACAAATATCCTTCCATCAAGGTTTCTTCAAGAATATTATCATGCACTTATTTAATCGAACATTAAAAGATCGTGAGCAATCCATAAAATGCTAACACTACGAAAAAAAATTCCAATGAGAGACACCAGAAAGGAAACTTAGTACTAAAGTTTCAGACCAATTGTCTTGGATCACCTAACAATAAGGAATTTTAAACGATGAAATATTATTTATAAACAAATTAAATGTACTTGTAGTCAGCTTTTTAATTTAATATTAGACTTAATGCCTATATTATTTTATAGCTCTCAAGGCAAATTAGAAAAACGCATGTAATTATAGTAGCAACAATCATTATTGATAAGATTTAAGTGGAATATACAATTATTTAGAGATTAACCTTGATTGAGCCATCGTGTGGTACATTCCAACCACTAATCCCATGTACATATGCTCTAGCTAATTCAGCCGCCAAATATGGATCTTCCCCATAAGTCTCCTTATTCCTTCCCCAAAGAGGATGCCGAAGAAGATTGACAGTCGGTGCAAACACATTTATTCCCGTATTATCCTGAAAGAAAGGTAGGGAATGGTTATTCACAACCCCATAATTAGGAAGTTAACATGTTTTGTATCTAGCAAGTGAATATACAAATTATACTTAAGGTCAAGCGATTATTTATAAATAATGATTCCTGGATTCCTTCAGAAGACCACTTTTACTCAGAAGATATAACAAGCTTACTCACAAAAATCACCTCTTTCCATTAGTTTTCAGAACACAGAGGGGTCTATTCTATTCACTAAAAAACAAACAGTTTCATCAAAATTTCAAAGAAATAATAATGAGTCGTTTTGAGTTTTCTGTCTTGTATTTCCAAAACATATATCTTCGAAAACATTTAATATATACGATGAATAATTAGCAGAGTAAGTGTACACCCAAATAAACTTGCATTATGAAATAATTATACCTTACTGCATGACAAATTTCTTTCACATGGGTATTTTTGCTGTTTTACCATAACATCAGATCCCTGTAAGCATATGCAAACCACAATAAAAACGGCCAACTGGATAACCGTACAAAGAAGTCGTTTCATTTGATATGACAGATCATATTAGAAACCACTCAAAATCCAAAAGATAGTATAGACTACCTGTACGTCACATAACCATTCAAACACTTTTTCAGATTTCAGGGTATTACCTAACATCTTCTAGATAGCGTAATGTAGAGAAGAGTTGCCTAAAAGTCGTTTGAATAAGACAACTTATTGAAGCCTCAGTGGTGGTAACGAAATGTTTCTAACAGTCACAGAAGGTTCACACTAAACAGTAGATAATAGCTCCCGTAAAATGTTAAATCCGGATCAGCATTTCATACCAAAACACAAACAAACTAGCCATCTGCTGACTCTTTGTTATCATTGAACTTAAAAATTGCGTCCAAGTGATTTACACTCAATCAATGGTTTTCGGCTACTCTTACTTTACATGTGTATGAAGTTGGGTATCACAAATCCTAGTGATGATCACTGACTACTTCTATTTTCTTTTCAAATGTTCCATTTTTAGTTAGTATGGTACTGTATGTTCACAATCAGTGGCTATTTGAGGTCAGGCCTGTTGATCTCCATTAATTAAGCCTAAGGTTTTAGATACTTTTAACAACCTGAATTATTACCGAAGAAATAATATAAGTTTATACATGACTGAACTGCATAGGATTTGTTCCTCATTTCCGTTTTAATCAGTGGAATTTTGAGCGAAGTCGAAGTAGACAGAAGTACGAAAAGATGGTTTAAATGGTTGTCTCTTCATAGGACTTGCATACTTGTTTCATCACTCACCGTATGCTGTAATTTTTTTGTCATTAATTCAAAATCTATCACTCCACAGTAAATTAAACAGTTTTAATGAATGGCATATCGGCTTTATTGTACTTCACAGCCTTCCAAGGAAGAGTAAATAAAATATTCTGACCAATGATTTCCACCAATTACCCGATGTTCAGCTAAGTGATGGTTAGATCAGTTTTCGTTGAGGTTAGTTTTTAAGACCATTACTGATGGTAATTAGGAACTACATATAAATAGTCTATTGCATTATACTATATTCATGTAAAGTTTGCGGTTCATGTTTCAGTTTGTTGAGAAATCCAACATGGTAATTAGTTTTAACATGAGCAAAACTCCTACCCAGGATTTCATTGTTAGGCACCACAAAATATAATTCATACAAGCACATAATATTGTAAGTATTTCATTAAAGATGAAATATAAGATTAATTATTATTACATGAATGTATAAAAAACTCACACGGTAATTATTTTGTTTACTAAACTGATTCCATTTAGCTCGCATTTCTAAGCCGTTTGCGAAAGCGATTTTCCAGACATCCAGTATATCAAACGAGGCAGCTTGATTAATGTGACTTACAAATGAAGTACAAAGACCTTGATTTGGATTTGTACGCCATTGATAGGGTTTGATCTTCAATCTAGGTATAGCCGGTGCAGGACCGTATGTTGGACCTGCGCCACCATTTGCCATTTGCTCAACAAGCTCCTCTATTGTTAATGATGAGATTAAGTCATCCAGTCGTTTTTTAATAGAAACCGATAAATTGCGAAATATCTGAGCATCAGTTTTATTGCACTGTTGAATAAATATCAATAGACTACACAAAAATCTGCAAATAAATATACATGTTTATAAGTAACATTTAGCGATTACTCACCTGCATTTATCATAACGACTATTATTTATCTATTTTATATATATCTCTGATACTTCTGCAACTACACAATCCAGATAAAGATTAATATTTTCCGTAAACTTTCAGAACTCTTTTACAATTAAATTCTTGGTATATATATATATATATATATATATATATATATATATATATATATATATATATATATATATTCCAAATAAGTGACTAGTATCAGCAAATCTAGTTTGATTTTTATCAAACATTCAAAATGATACAAGTGCAATGTGTTAATAATTAATTAAAATCTTACTTGAAAGCAATGTCATTTACAGTTTCTCTGATTGAAGGTCGTCTTCAAACTTTTGTTACTTTCTCAAACTTTAAGGTCACTAATTTATATTTTATAAACACACAGATGCTTTTATACAATTCTTCTTGTTCTTGATTGTTTTTTTGTGTTTAGATTCCTCAACAAAAGCATTCAAACCATAAGTGCAACAAAATCTGGTTAAACATAGTTTCAACTCACGGTTTCTGTAATGCGTTTACGAACACTATCAGAAACCTAGCAGTATCAATAAATAATTGACCGACTGAATCTATACATTTGTTTTCATCATAATTAAAATCAAGTAAAATGACTAATTCAATATGGCGAATCCAGCTGATAAGAATTTACATTGTTCACTCAGAATCATAAAAGTCTTTAAAGGATTATAGGATTATAGATGGGCAGTTTCGACTACGTTAGCTGATACATCGTCAAATATATGTAAGACTACAAAAGGTGAAAAGATTGAAGAGCGCTCTAAAACCTGGATGGCAAGTTATTTTATAGGTAGAAACACACATAAAACAGAAGAACGCAGACAACAAGCATGAAGAGAATACCCTCAGGACCTCGTTTACAAACCTTTGAAATAGTAAAAGTGAGCCCATTTTCTTAAGGAATGAAGTTAACTGTGAATTATTCTTAGTTCATTAGTGTAAAGCTTCAGGTTTCATCAAACAATTCCACATCTTTCCATACGACAAGCCATTTAAAACACATAATCATAAAATAAATTGACTAAGCAGGCAAAGCAACTTCCTTTTTAGAAAAATCAATTACAAGAAACTACTTATTTCTAGTAGGGTCAAGCAGAGTTAACCAGGAGCCACGAATTATCTCGTGCCACATATATCTCGATGTAAACTGCTGTCAAAAGTACATCTTTCTACGTTTGAGTACACACTACACACACTATCTTGCCAAAGTTCAAATATCGCAAGCGAAAAATGAGAAAACCTGGCTCGAGTTGCTTGATAAAAGTGAATAAAGATGGCCTGGATAGTAGACAAAATATATCACAAGTTAACGTGTTTACGATTTGCGTGGCCACAAGAGCAAATAACAAAATATTCATTGAGATTTCAAACGATCTACTAGTTTAATGTATGCTACTCATACGGACAGATATAAGTAGTATGTATCGAGAATTGAAAGCAGGATTGTTAATGAAAGGAGAGGAACATGAGGAGAATGAAAAAACAGAAGCAGATCATTCGGCAACAGGAATCAACGAACGATGTAGCTTGTAAGAGACAATTCGAGGAAGATGTACAAATTGTGTATTCAATTTATTGGCTTCATATTTTATAAATGTAGTGTGTAATCTCTCTTAATAGGACAATTCGGTTTACGTTTCCATTGTTCTTTACACTAGTTCATCAAGTCCGTTTTATTGAGATTCATTGTATCTTCTTTAAATAGCCATATGTTATTTCGTTTAACCCTCGACTAGTCGAAATGGAAAATAAGTTGAAACCGGATAATATTTAACAGCATCTTTAGATTATAAGGTGGGATTTGTAAGTCATCGGTGTTGAAAAGTATAATTATCACTGGATTTACAGCTCTCATTCTAAATTATATGTATAGAAAGCTGTGGTATCATTTAGCGGTAATAATTATAGCTATCAGTAAACCTTAGTGATCATAGTTCTGCACATGCGTGGAGCAGATTCTTTATTACTGCATAAATCTCTTTATTTTACGAAGAACAATTATGGGACCTGTCATAGGCTTATACAACAGAGGCTTTTGTTTTCAACTTCATCTTCGAGAAAACAACTTAGTCCATTTTCCTATTTTAGTAACAGATGTATAAGTGACACTCAGATATACTGCACAAACAACTCATTTGATGGTGAACAATAAATCAGAACAATGATGACAGTTTTCAAAGCCTATCTCATCCGTTACAGTGAAATGTTTCTTTTTTTAAGCCAGAAGAATTAACTAATACAATATCTTGATTATTTCAGGTAATTAGTAGTAATACAAACTACCAATTATGTATAAATAATCGACTTACATAAGGCGAAGAGATGTTTGTTGCATTTTAATAATTAGGATATCATTAATCTTCCTTAGCTTTCAAGTTTCTATAGTTTATATATTTGTTTAGAATGAAAAGCTATAATACGATTCAACATAAGCTTAACTTCATTGGTTTGCTCTAATGTTTATACGTGCAGTTTTACACTGATTGGCTATTAAAACAAATCTGCATTTAATACTTAAGTGATCAATACAAGTTTGGAACTTTACTCCATTTTATTTATTGTATTGTTACTTGTCCAGCCAGCAAATAAAGACATACACAGACGATATCGTAAGCCAAACTTGAAATTATTTTATAGGGGCATTTGTTGAACCAACTTACAAATTAGCAAATCAAATAACTCAAAAAGCCGAGAGTTTGTGTTGATTCTAAAAGCGATCATAATGGATTTAACTTCATTTTGAACATAACTAAAATCCTACCCTCAACTGGATAACAATATCACTTCTAATTTATTATTGTTTTACTAATGACTAGATGCATTCTGTATTGAAACAGTTTATACAGAGTTACTTTTAGGTTAAAACGAAACACAATTTACAACTTCGATTGTAAGAAGGTTTAGGCCAACTGAGGAGGTACATGAAACAGAAAACTTTGATTTGTGTACGCATTATTAGGGTTTTGTTGATTCATAGTAAATTAAATCATGAAAATACTTTTATGTAAACAATTGTTAGTTAATCATCTAGAAAGCTGGAGAACCTTTATAAAAATAAAAAATCTTCCCATTGATGGTGTGTCATGATTATTGAAGTAATAAGTACATAGTGTTCCTGAATAATCGGTCATAAATTCAGAGACAATTGTTGTACAATGACGTTTAAGCTGTATTGCTTAAATTATTTTTACCAAATAACTTCATTATCTTTTATATCATATTTTTCATTAGCTGCTTTCTCATAATTTTGTGCACACAGTGATTGAAACACAACATCTGATAGCTTTGATTAGTTGAACCTATCAACTGACATGACAAAGTGAGGAATGTGGTGCTCAGAGAGGTAGCTTAATGGTCAGATCGCTCGTCTTTAAATCATCACGTTGTTGTTCAAACCCCTCCTGACCTATTTCCGTTTGAAAGATTGTGAAGTACCATTATCCTTTACCTGAAGTAGCTGAAAACTAGGTATATAAACACGTACTTTGTAGCTGAATTACATCATTCAAATGCGGTAAGTATCAAGCAGTCATATTCTGCAGCTCCAGAAACTGATCATGAAAATTGTGACCAGAATGGTCTATAGTGATGTATGAACGAGATGCCAAACTGTTTTCACTTGATTGAAATAGATGGCCAGCCGTCACTCATAGCCTTAATTCATATGAAACACCAGAAGCAACAGACTGGCTGTTTTCAGCTGACTAAATAGAAATTGAATTAAAAAGTGAAAAATACTAACTAAATGGATCAAATCCTAATTACACTACACAAACAAAATCTTAATATATGAATTCAAGCTTATTAACGTGATCTCATAGTTAAAAGTGATGAGTGTTAATCACAATGGTGTAAACCCTAAAAGCTTACATATCTTCATCGACCCCAGTTTCCATATAATTTATCTGCCTGATAGGTAGTGGCGCCAAATAATCAACAAATTGACATTTGGTTGGTCGGAAAGTATTTTATGCAATATGACAATAATCGTATATGATGCCGTTCAGAAGAACGATGAAAGCTCCACGACCAAACCATCCAGCTCAGAGAAAAAAACTCCACCAAAATCACAGCTATTTAAATAACGTAAATTAGAAAATGTTTCAACTGGAGTAATGAATTAAAGTGATGTTGGAAAAAACACTGATTATTGGTATAATGATCTCTTCACAACCATTTGATTTTCACCCAATAAGTGAACAATCCAAAATTACTCAGTTTGTTCAGCATCTTATTCACCTTTGTACATTGTGTAATTCCGAATAGTGAGTGAACATATATGTGATTTTATGTTGTGCATGGTGAGGAACTAGTGAAATGAACGCTACTCACAGGACTGTTTGTAAGTAACGCGGCATCGAACTTGCAACAATTGTCAGACCGAGTGTAGCTTCAGTACATCGAAAGCGCAAGGTTGGCAGAACACCAGACCAGATGAGAAGACAGTTCAGAGGGCAGAACACACAGAAAGATGCGACTGGGCGTTTGAAGGCTATGTATATGTATTATATAAATACTTTGTAACTTTTCACAACTAAATTTCATTATTCTTGCCTACTGCCTCTTAACACTAATACCTGGTGAATCTTTGTAGGGTTATCGGGGTGAAAATAGATCAAACGAAAGCCCATTATTATCATCACTCAGAAATGAAGAGACAGTAGTCAACATTTCCCTACCAGCATTTTATTAACTTGATCACTGTAATGATGTCAAGTTATATGTCTATCCTAATGTAATTCTGAATCGTATCCTACCGAAAATCATAACTTGACCCCCACCCTCAAGTTTAAAACTTCTGAATCCAGCAGTTTGATGTAGAAACAGTCCGTATTACAGTAACATTCGTAAACCTCAAAAGCGTACTAACAAATTACTATTGTTAACTAGCTATACTATTCTATATAACGAATGAAATCTATTAAATTTACGACACTCAGAGAAAATAACACTTAGGTAGAGTCAAGTCACTTTCTTTTGTATACAGACCAAATTATTAATTAAGAGACCTAAGCATACTCAGCAACCGTTTACCTGGATCAGCTATGCTGGCTAAGCTGATGGTCAAGCGGAATCATCGATGCATGAAGTAATCTTTGATTGGAGACCATAGGAGATATGGCTTGAAATTAGTGGGATTGATAACAATGAGTTCTTCCTCTACCCTCATATAAATCTTAAACTATAAATCGCACATTCCAAATTTACTCATTCTTTTTAAACTAATATTTCCTATAAGCAGGGAAAATAGTGGCTCGCAGTGGAATCCAGGACGCGCGTTTCATCCTAATCGGGACTCTTCAGCTGGATGTACCTGCATCTCAGATTCCATGTTCACTCCGGGACTCGGACCCATTACCGTTCACTTCAAATGCCATCGCGTTATCCACTTTGCTACTGATTCCAGATAGCCACTGACTTGTGCAATGGGGCGAAGTTTAATTCATTCTTGTACTGGTATTTTGAATCTTCTCTAATAAGAGACTGATCACTTGCGGTTCTAAAGATCGATGAGAAGATTCAAAAAACCAATGCAAACATGAATTAATATTTATCATGTTTAGTTTTCGATTATTGTTCGTATTTAAAACAATTAGTCCCTATGGTAAATTTCGATAATGTAATGAGAAGACGAAGGTTATCAAAATTGTGTGATATTTTTGATATTATTATAATCGGTTAATCTACTAATTAATATCCACTCATGATGTTGATATGAAATGGGATAAAATGGTTTGTTACACAACTATGCCAAGTTCTATGTTGTTTATGGTTGACTGACTGTCTGAAAACTTAAGTCTAATTTTAAGTCATATATCTGGATAAACGTATATGATCGGTTAAATGAATCATGGTTCTCTCCATGGTCGATTTGCTTCTCCATCAGCCCAAAGTTTGATATACTGATTAAATACATTTACATATCCCCACCCTTTGTCTTCGCAAACCAAATAAATAACTAATGAACAACTGTTTAAACTCAATCTTAATACATAGATTATTGATAATAGTAATTATTATTATTAATGGCTTTATTCAACATTATACAAACAATAATAAACATAATATAATTGACATGATTATTCATCTGACGAAATTTCATTTACAAAAAGTTATTCAACGTCATGATCATCTAAAGAATACAGATGATATACAAAGTAAGATGTGACGCTAATTTCTACTTCGAATGTCGTTGAGTTAATACACGTCCGACTGAACTATTATTAACACGACAGAATTTGTTTAGAAGTGAGCAAACAGCAGGTGGAGTTGGTAAGGGTACATCTTCCAGTGCTGAAACAGTTTCAGTAGACTCTGTACAATAATCTTCATAACTGAAGTCTGAATCAGAATCAGCATACGAAACGTCAGAAAATGTATCTACTTGAGATCCTTTTTCTGGGACTAAGTGTTTAGAGGAAGACTTTTTCCTGGGAGGTTGTGGGGGTAACAATTCTGTTAGGAAACTACCTATTTCTGGTTCGGGCCACATAGAACATCTTTCAAATAATGCATTAAGACGCGCCTCGACACTCTCATCAGGTAAGTCCTCAGACCGTAACAGGGAAATACATCGAAATCGAGAACGTATATCATTACCTTCCAGTTTTACGCTTGTACCGTTTGTAGGTAAGGGTGTTATTTCACAATATGCACGTCCAGCGCAAGTTAAATGACGACGAAGCTTCGGTCGCAGTCCGTTGGGAACTGATGCTTTCCACAGTGTTAAGAAGTCATTTAGGTCAAAGCTGCTAATAACTGATAGTAGATGCTCCCCAACTATTTGACAAATTTTCGAATTCCGCGGGTAAACGTATACATCTTTAGAATCAAATGCTTTTCGATTTTCTAGCTGAGAACAAATTAGCATCATAATTTGCTTGGTAATATTTGGAAGGTGCTGATTTGCCAAGCCTTCTATTGAGGCATGCAAAGGGAAGCCATATTTACGCCAGTCCCATGCATTTTCATCAGCAAGGGCAAAAAGATCTCTAACTACCTATTTATAGGAAAAAAGAAACTTTTGTAGCTCCCAATCTAAATTCAATGAAGCTATATAACTCAAAAACCTAGTATAGGTTTACATAATTTGTTGTGAGTAGTAATCGCGGTGTGAGGGCTATTGGTACTATCTGTCTATCCAAACCAAACTAGATAGAGCAGGATTCGTACCTGTGATCAAGTAGCTGAAAGTCGAGTGTTTAGACCGCCAGGCCATCAAAAACACTTCAAGTCAGGATTTATAAGCACATAATTTGTAAGTTCCCAACTTGGTTCATTGGTATTTTTCAAAGTTTGCCTTACAACTGCGTTGCAACACTAAACTCAACCTAA